TTTTAAGTTGTATGGGCTGTTGTACTCAATTTTGAGTGATAACACTATAAAGATGGAGATGGTAGAAAATCTGGCTCGATTAAAAGAGGGCATGGATCAGAGTTTTTCATTATAATGTATCCCCTTCTTTATGTTAATGACGTTTTGAGCAGTGCCCCTTAAATAAATGGGTCATTCTTTTCCTTGACAGATTGTGGAGCAAAAGATGATTAATTCAAGCAGCATCCCTGCTGCTAATATCATAATGAACCATGACTTCTCCAATGGGCTGCAATCTTGGCACCTCAATTGCTGCCATGGTTTTATAGTCTCAGCTGAGCCTGATTTCCCAGATGCAATGCCAATGAAGTCAGGTGGTAATTATGCTGTCATTACAAATCGTACAGATTGTTGGCAGGGCTTGGAACAAGATATCACAACAAGAATTTCCCCTGGTTCTACATACTCAGTTTCTGCATGGGTTGGAGTATCAGGGCCGCTTCATGGATCTGCTGATGTCCTGGCAACTTTAAAGCTTGAAAATCAGGGCTCAACTAGCTATCTACTTATTGGAAAGTAATGTTATTTTGTATTCCATTATACCATACTATGCTTTTTCTTTATCTAAAAGGATAAAAATAAAAACTTGTGTAAATGGACACTGCCCTTGCAGAACTTCTGTGTTGAAGCAGAAGTGGGAAAAGTTGGAAGGTACATTCTCATTGTCAACCATGCCTGAACGGGTTGTATTTTATCTAGAAGGGCCTTCTCCTGGAGTTAACCTGTTTATAGATTCAGTGGTTATTACGTGTTCCAATTTAGGCCAGTCTGAGGTAATGTTAGCTTTAATGCATTTTGTGCTTCTAATCTTAGTAGATAAAATTAGTTAAATCTTTAATGGTTGGATTTGTCCAGGAGATTCGTAAATTGTGTTTTTACATGTGTGAACAATCTGCATAAATTTTTTTCTCTCCATTTTCTTCGTTTTCATGTTAGAAGAGTACAAGCACAGCATGTGTTGCCACTGGAGATGAGAACATCATCCAAAACCCCAACTTTGAGGATGGCCTCAATAATTGGTCTGGAAGGGGTTGCAAGATTGTTTTACATGATTCTATGGCAGATGGGAAAATAGTTCCACAAACTGGAAAGGTTTTTGCAGCTGCAACAGAACGCACACAAAGCTGGAATGGAATCCAGCAGGAGATCACTGGAAGAGTGCAGCGAAAGCTTGCTTATGATGTAACAGCTTTAGTACGGATATTTGGTAATAATGTCACAAATGCAACTGTACAGGCCACCTTATGGGTCCAAACCCCAGATGGTCGAGAACAGTATATAGGCATTGCCAAGTGAGTTTCTACCTGTTCTAAATGCATGCATGATTATTTCCCTCTAATAATCCTTGAAAAATATCTTTCCATGTATTCATTTTCCCCAGATAAAGTTTTTATCACAATCTTAAATCTGTGATTATCATTAAATGCCTTATAGATGCATATATGGGATCATGCCTTGTTCCTCTTTGTTTTATGATGAGTATATTTCTCTATTTATTTGCAACTAGATGGCCAAAAAAATAATATTTACAACTAGCAGTTCCCTTTGAAATTTCAAACTTGCTGAAAGAAAGGTTTTTTCCCACTATCGTAGTGTGCAGGCTACGGACAAAGTCTGGGTACAATTGAATGGAAAGTTCCTTTTAAATGGTTTCACCTCAAGAGTTGTGATTTATTTAGAAGGTCCACCTCCAGGCACTGACATTCTTGTCAATAGTTTAGTTGTAAAGCATGCAGAGAAAACCCCTCCTTCACCTCCACCATGTATTGAGGTATGTTAACTATTTTCACATTGGATTTATGGAATTTGGTTTATGCCACGTGAAAGGTATGTATCAGACACTGTATATGATGCATGCTTTTCTACTGTTAAACATGACTGATGTAAGAATGTATATTTTTGTTTTTACTTTTGTAGAATCCTGCTTATGGAGTTAATGTAATTGCAAACAGCCAACTAACTGATGGCACCAATGGGTGGTTTCCTCTTGGTAACTGCAATTTGAGTGTTGCAACTGGTTCGCCACATATACTCCCTCCAATGGCCATAGAATCCCTTGGAGATCATGAACCATTAAGTGGCCACTATATCCTTGTGACAAACCGCACACAAACTTGGATGGGCCCTGCTCAGATAATCACTGACAAGCTGAGACTTTTCTTGACATACCAAGTGTCTGCTTGGGTTAGAATTGGTTCTGGAGCAAAAGGTCCTCAAAATTTGAATGTTGCACTTAGTGTGGACAACCAGTGGGTAAATGGGGGACAGGTTGAGATAAATGATGATAGATGGCATGAAATTGGTGGTTCCTTTAGAATTGAGAAGCAACCATTGAGGGTTATGGTTTATGTCCAGGGTCCAGCTCCAGGTGTTGATCTAATGCTTGCTGGACTTCAAATTTTCCCTGTTGACCGAGAGACGAGGTTTAAACATTTGAGAAGGCTAACTGATAAGGTATTGCAAGCTTTTCCTTTGGTCTTCGTTCAAAAATATCCCTATATATATATATATATATATATATATTAATTTCAGTAACCTTCTAGGGGGTAGTATCCTCCTCTTGTTATTAAAATTTCCTTTGATTATTGACAAAAACTGAAAATCACCCTACTCCAATAACATAGGCTACATTTGCTCCCGAGTATAAACAGGTACATGGGTTATATATTGTTGTTACTTGTCTTTGGATTTTGTTAAACTATGACAAAATTGCATATACAAATTTTACGTTGCAGTATATCTTTGGAAATTTGATGTGTCCTAAATTGACGGTGTTTTTTTGTCTTTGGATTGTATTTCCTTTCTTTGTGTTGTAACATGACATTGCTGCTGGCGGCATTATATCCGTGTGTCAATGATTATTTATTGGAAAGGCGGGCTTCTAATTCTCAAGTGTCTTTGGTCCTAGCCTACTTCATATATTGAATAAGTCTTATTATGCTGTGATGCAGATCCGCAAACGAGATGTCATCCTCAAATTCTCAGGAGTCGATTCATGCAGCTTGTTTGGAACCTTTGTGAGAGTTAGACAAACACAAAATGCATTTCCCATTGGATCTTGCATTAATAGAACAAACTTAGACAATGAAGATTTTGTTGATTTCTTCGTGAGACATTTCAACTGGGCAGTGTTTGGAAATGAGTTAAAGTGGTATTGGACAGAGCCACAACAAGGAAAGTTCAACTACAAGGATGCTGATGACATGTTAGATTTCTGTCAAAAGAACAAGATTGAGGCCCGAGGTCATTGTATCTTCTGGGAAGTGGAATCTACAGTCCAGCAATGGGTTCGATCACTCAACAGAAATGCCTTGATGACAGCCGTTCAAAATCGTCTTACAGGCCTTCTCACACGTTACAAGGGGAAGTTCAGGCATTATGATGTAAACAATGAGATGCTGCATGGGTCATTTTATCAAGACAGACTGGACAAAGATATCCGAGCAGACATGTTTAAGAATGCACATCAGCTAGATCCATCTGCCATCTTATTTGTGAATGATTATCATGTTGAGGATGGATCTGACACTAGATCATCCCCAGAAAAGTACATTCAGCAAATTCTTGATTTGCAAGAAAAGGGAGCACCTGTTGGAGGGATTGGCATTCAGGGACATATAGATAGTCCTGTAGGACCAATTGTTTGTTCTGCTTTGGATAAACTGGGTATCCTCGGTCTACCTATCTGGTTTACAGAGCTTGATGTGTCTTCCAACAATGAATACATTAGAGGAGATGACTTGGAAGTTATGCTTCGCGAAGCTTTTGCCCACCCTGCTGTGGAAGGCATAATGCTATGGGGATTCTGGGAGTTGTTCATGAGCCGGGACAATGCATATTTGGTGAATGCAGAAGGTGACATCAATGAAGCTGGTAAAAGACTCCTTGCTCTTAAACAAGAGTGGTTAACTCATTGTCATGGCTATATCGATGAGCAAGAACAATTCCAATTCAGGGGCTTTCATGGTACTTATGAATTAGAGGTCATTTCTGTTTCCAAAAGGGTTCTAAAAACTTTTGTTGTTGAAAAGGATGAGTCACCAATGGTTTTGTCCATTGATCTCTGAGTTTTTCCTTGCTGTTATACGATGTAAAATCTCTTCATAGAGATTGGTGGTTTGTGAATTGTGATTGTCAGTTTGTTTCCTTTAAAGAATTCAATCAGAGAAATACAAACTAAAGTATTGTTATCTGTTATTACTGAATACACTGACTCAACTGGGCACAAAATAAAGCCCATAGCCCGTCAAGATTTCATAATTGCCACAAAGCCCAATCTTTTACTGAACAAGCCCTAATTGCCCATTTGAACCAAAAAAAAAAAGAAAAAAGAAAAAAGAAGACATAATTAGCTTTAAAATAGAAATGTTTTGTGCAGTTTGAATTAAGTTTGATTAAAAAAAAAACAAGTATTGATAGTGAGAATTCTTTTATGTGGAATTGTCCTCCTTATTAATGGTTGCATTTTAGGTTTTTAATTTTATATTATAGAATAAAAGGGTAACTTTTTCCAAACTTTTTACTCATCTTACTCATATAAGTATAATTTAAATTTAATATTTCTTATTCTACTTAAAAAAGAGATTGTCACTAACCTCCTCCTCTTTATGTGATTAGTGCATTTTAAATATTGTTATAGTTCCAAATGTAAAAAACGTTGGACATTTAAAAAATGAAAAATATCTATATGGTAAAATCTTGTGAGGTAGACAGAAGGCAAGAGGCAAAGTGCAAAAGAACAAGAAATGAAATTGACAGGAAGTCCAATTAGGGAGAGGATGAGAGTAAAGTTAAGTGGGGAGAAATGGAAGCTCTGTTCCTAAATGGGCCTATTTATGATATTCACGGATTCTACCATCATTTCAATCAAAATCCCCGATTCGTCATCTCATTTAATCTCAATCTGACCGATGTGTAGAAATTTTTTTATATATATACACATGAGGAAAGTAGTGTTTATTTGTTTTATTTTTAAAAAATTAAAAGATAAAAATAAAAAATGTTTTAATTTATATTTTAAAATATAATATTTTAAATTTTTAATAAATATTTATTAAAATAATATAATTTTAAAATAATATTTATTTTAAAATTTTAAAAAATAAGATGTATAAACATTATTTTATATATATATATATTATAACCCTCATTCTTTCTTTCGTGTTTTAAAACTAGATTAAGTGTTTCCCTTTTTTTAAGCTACCTTAACCAAACTAATTTAGTGCATTATTTTATTTGACTGTTTATCTGACAAGTTTTTTTTTAAAAAAAAACCTTTCTTTCGGTTATTAATAAGAATTATTTTTTATTTTTTATTTTATCTCTCTCATTTGATGTGATTTAAATTTAAAATTTTTTTATTTTATTAAATTATTATTAAATTATTTAAATCATTAAAATATTTTAAAAGATATTTATACTAAAGTTTTTCTTCTCTCACCTTTTTTAATATATAATTTTAAATAATATTTTTATATCATATATAACTGATAATTGTAAAATTTTAATGAGACGATTTAATCATTGGAAGTTCAGCACAAATTTTACCTGGTTAGGACTAGGAGAATACCTCAACATAACATTTGGAGGTTTTTTTGGCATTTGGCCGTAAAACAAATTTTATAAATGCCAAGACATGACCTATTTATCAAGAGAAAATATTCCGTGCAACTGGTATGAAAATTTTGAAATCCTTTGATAAATAGTATTTCTGACTTCTGACATAGAATGTAATATGTGCTTCAAATTTTATTGGTTAACTGTATTTTAATAGTTTAATGATAATTTATTAAACTATTCTCTTAGTATTCCGAAGTATATATTTCCCACATAAATTGTTTTTTTACATTGTTAACAGTGTTTTTAGT